ACCATTTATGTATGTCTCAGATAATGATACTCAAACCAATAGTATCACATGTGATCACGAGGAAGAAAATAATCGCCGGGTCATGAATGAGCTTAAAGTATTATCCCAGCACCTGCTTGATTATAATAAAAGAACTTTCGAGAAGTTCATGTGAGATGTAAATCGAGAGTACAATGAGCGGAAAAAAAGCTTGCATCTATGACATTAGATTCTATTCGCTAAGAAATGCACTTCTCAGGAAATTAACCGAGAGACGCTTTGCATGAATTAGCTTGAGTACTTTTTTTCCTTGCGCTTCTGCCTCACCTCTATCTCTTTCTGCAGGTTTAGTGGAGTGTTAAACCTTAGGCGGATTGCAAGGGGATCATCTTCCGGCCTAGTGAGATCAAATACAACAAATTCACCCTTTTTGCGGAGATAGCTATTAATGACCATTGATGCATTTTTTACATCATGACCGGCTACCTTGGACACATCTTGAGGACTACTTTAAAGAAAAGAGATATTTTTAATTCTGTAATTCCGATTAAAAAAAAATCACACGGGCAAGAACGAGCACGTGATTGTTAATGAAGTGGCTTAGCATAACTGATAATAGAATAATAGATCGCGAACATGATCATTAAACGCGTGATGTAAATTTTTGGGTAAAATATACCGTGAACGTTTGTTTTTTATACACTATTTTCATAGATACTACATTCGCTTGTTAGTTATGGAAAAGATCTCGCTTGTTAATGGTACGTTTGTTACTCTTGCTTTTTTTTTTGCTAAGCTAGTCTCATTTGTAAGTTTCGTTCAGTTAGTGCACAGTACTTCGAAACAACTCCCGTAGACGATTGGTCTTATCTTGGATACTTGGAGACAATGAAGCCATACTTCTACGATCATGCAACAATATTTTCATTAAAATCTACGTGGCGAAAACGTTTCTTGGCTAATGCAAGAGGCTTTGAAACTTGTCACGATCAAGAGAGAAGAAAGGTTGCTATCTCCCTTATAAATGAGGTCCGTAAGCATTTTTGTTTTTGCTGACTTGATACCAACAGCAAAATCTATGAAGCCCTTGGAAGGTGACGTCCTTTACCAGGGTTGTTAGGTGACGCCCTCTCATAGCATTTTCAAGCCTGCCTATATATTTGCACCACTGAGAGGAAGGTGACGCCCTTGACCTCTTGGAGTTAGGTGACGCCCTCGGTGCTATATGTAGCAAGCTCTTAACATGACTTATGTAGGAATTGTATTGTATATTTGGAAATGAACTAAATATACTGAATGGTTCGCTTTTTTTATAGAAGAGCAATAAACGAGAAATATCAGAATATTGGAGTCAAATCGAACGAGAAAGAGCATTGAAGGCGAAACAAGTATGAAAATATGGATCTAAATATTTAATAGAATCATCACACTAGTTATTAATATGAACGGTTTTAACTGAACAGTTGGCTGTGAAAGACAAAACACAATCTTCTGCGTTGGATATGCTAAATGTTGCAACCAGCAATCAATCAAACCAAGTTATTATGTTGCTTGAAGAACAAGATGCTCGCCTTCCTTCTAATAATATTCCAAACGAAAAATACTCTAGTATTGAACGTCGGGAAGAATTGGTACCATCTTTTAATACTAGTTATATTCTTCGAAAACAAATTAAAAGCCTTTTAATGAAAAGGTTGGTAATTTTTTATTGCAGGGTACATCATCAGCAAACACGATCCTTAATACAGATCCCGATACGAGTGAAGAAGAAAAGTGTGCAGAAATTGACGAATTTTTTATGGGCACGGGAGATTACGAGATTTACAACGGTGATATTAATGATATTAACTTCGTGGAATGTATAGAAGCCAAACCAACGCCAGTATCTTGTCGATCGTGGGTCCTTCGTAGTGGCACTAACGTTGGAGATAAATTGGCAAGATATGCTGATACGATCCTTGATGCTCAGAAATGTTTGAAGTGAGTTTACTATATTGTCAGATAATCATGAATGTTAATTATGACTATGTTAATCACGGATTTTTTCTTGTAGCCTCGCGTATTGGAACATTCTTGACCTGACCGAGGATTCCCTAATAAAATCTTTTTTTTCAACAGACGACTGGAAAGAAATAACGGAAAGCTTTGAAAAGGATGTGAAATTAGTTGAATCGGATATACCGGATGTAGCCATGTATTTTTTTAATGAAGTAGAAAAGGTTGGTGAATGATTTATCTTGTTATAACGCTTTAAAAACGTTGCTGACTAATACACTTTTAGATAACAAAAAATGAGGATGAGAATATCGTCGATGCAATCGATAAATTGACTCCAGAAATAATAGAAAGTAATCAAGCCGTCAAGCTCACAAACGAAGACAAGGAGATCGTTGCTACTATCAGACGCGCCGTCGTTACATAGTAAGCTAATCAATGTAGAATTATTTCATATCTTTTTTGTTTATTCATTTCTTCCAATTATTATCACACAGTGCAGAAAATTTGAAAGGGCTCGAACTTCCCGTTTCGGAGTCTGACTTCGATAATGCTTTCCCGAATATGTTAACAAAGAGATTCTTAGACAAACAAGATCTCAAGATGGACGTGTAGGTATAGACAAGAATACGACAGTCGATCTTCGTGTAATTAATTCTTTTTCTTCCAATTTTGTAGTGGAGAAATCGCATGCTGGGCTTCTTCCCGGCGCAGAAATGAAGGGCGTTCCATAATCCTCCGTGCACGCATAGGTCAAAAGTGCGACTTTCGAGGTACACTGAAAAATAGTGTTAATAGCCTCGAAGCTATTATCGGACTTAGGAGTGGTGGTCTCCCAGTCGTCCACCGCAAGAAAGTTATCGAGGATCGGATTGATCTTGCCGTAGCTATGCGTGACGTTCTATATAATTTTTTCGAAACAAATACCGGTGCATCTGGAGATGAACTCCATCATACGTACGTCCTCGGAATTCAATCATGGGGTATGTGTATAAATATAGCAATTAATTTTCAACAATTTAAACGACTAATATGCTTTTTTTGTTCTCATGATAAGGATGGGTCCATGAAACCTATGCTATGGACTGTAAAGCCACGAACGTGTTGCGCCTAGGAAGACTTTCCCGGATCAAGATGCCTAACACTATGAAAACACTTGCAATTCTCGAAGGCTTCGATGCACTTAAATATTAAAAATTATTAAAAATGAAATTTTTTAATAATAAATGCTGCGTCTGACTTTCAGAGTGGCATTTTATTATTAAAATTTAATTTTTTAATAATAAATGTTGCGTTCAACAATCAGGGTGGCATTTTATTATTAAAATTTAATTTTTTAATAATAAATGCTGCATCTGACTTGTGGAACAGCATTTTGTTATTAAAAATAATAAAAAATTAATTTTTTAATAATAAATGCTGTGTCTGACTTTTGGAACAGCATTTTATTATTAAAAAATAATAAAAAATTAATTTTTTTAATAATAAATATCGTGTCTGATTTTCAGGATGGCATTTTGTTATAAAAATTAATAAAAAATTAATTTTTTTAATAATAAATGTCGCCTCTGACTTTTAGAGCGGCATTTTAATATTAAAAATTATTAAAAATGAATTTTTTATTAATAAATGTCACGTTTGACTTTTGGGGTGGCATTTTATTATTAAACATTAATTTTTTTTAATAATAAATGCCACCTCCAACTTTCAGGATAGAATTTTTTTATTAAAAATTAAATTATTTTAATAATAAATGCTGCATCTGACTTTTGAGTGCATTTTATTATTAAAAATTAAATTATTTTAATAATAAATATTGCGTCTAACTTCAGGGTGGCATTTTTTATTTCAAATTTAACAAATTGGATCTGAATCTAAATCTGAATCTAACAGATCGAATCTGAATCCAAATCTGAATCTGTCAGATTGAATCAAATCAAAATCTGGATTTGAATCTGATTTGAATTTGATAAATCCAATTTGATCTGATCTGTCAGATCCAGATCAGATTCAGATTGAATCAGATTTTTTGCGGAATACTAAATGTAATGTTTTATCATTTTTATTTAAACAATGAGCATTTTATGATTAAAATTTATAAGGATTTAATCGTAAAATATTATGTAATCTTTGATATTCTAGGATTATATTCTAATCTGTCATGAATGCTGACCTATCAAGATGAAAAATCTCAATATTATCCTAGGTTAAGAATGATATAGGCTTGACCTACAAAGAAGATATTTTGATTTAAAGCGAGAAAAACATTTGGTAAAGTTAAGCCTTGTATCTTGTGAACAGTCAGAGTAAAGCAGTTCTGTAGTAGATATTGAGTTCTATGACAGTTATTTCCAAATAGTTAAAAGTGATGTGTTTGTTTGTAAATGGTAATATCTATTATCAAACCTCTTACAGAAAATGCAACTTGAACTGAATGATCAATAAGGTTTAAATCTATAATAATTCCAACTGTTTCATTACAAATTTCTTGCTCAAATAAAGAGTTATTAAGACATATGATACGAGCACCTGGTTGTAATCTTACAGAAGAAGATAGATTGGTTTTACTTTTAAAAGAGCTTTTAGAAAAGCAAGAATCTCACGATATGGAATTTACTGAATCTACAGCTTGTGATATAAAGAATTTTCTTTCAGGAACAGGTAATATGTTACAAATCATTTGATTAATTTGTTGAGCATTTTCTCTAAAGCTGACAATATTAGTAGTATTGAAAAGTGTATCGATTGCTGAACATGATAAAAGTTCAGAATGTTTTTAACTGAACATCTGCCATGTTTCAGCAGATATATTACCTATCTGAACTTCTTATAATATTTGATAGAATCTGCTGTCAGATTGTTGATGTTGTGAAATCATTAAGAATAAGGGATAGAATAAAGTTCAGATCATTGAACGAAATACAAGTTGACTTGTAATAGGCAGTAATTGAGCAAGTTCACCTACTACAATCACATTTATTCTACCAAATGGGAAGATAGCATTAGTGATACCTGACGAAATTACCTTTCTTAATATGATGAAATTGATGAAACTGAAATGATGAAATTAGTTTTTTATTAATGATGAATTTATTTACTTAATTGCTAGAATTATATTTAACTTGATCTAAATTTCTTGAATTAAAATATATTAAAAAATATAATAATTTTATATTTATTCATGTAATATATTAAAGAGACGAAACTTTTGACGAAATCACAATTTTTCAAAAAAGAGTTTAGTCAGGTATCACTAGATAGCATTATTGTTAAGATTAGCAAAAAGATTAGATATAAAATCAAAGAGCTGTGTTGAAACTATTGAAATTTCTTTGATGATAATAGTATCAATTACTTTTAATAATTTATTTAATTCTTTATCAATATATACATGTATACGAAAGTTATCATAATTTGAAATAATCTGCAGTGCAGAATAAATGGTTCTTCCTTCTACATTTTAGATGGCAAATACCAGTAGGAGTCAGGAGAAGATATTTAGATTTTTTCTGTTTAAGAGTATTTATCAGCAGGTTTATGATATATGATTTACCTGTTCCTGCAGAACCTGTAATAAATAATATGGCCATTTGATACTATTATTTGGGCTAAGATATAAAGATATTGTTGATAAGACATAATACTGATCTTCTGATAGATCAAGTATAGCAGTTTCAGATAATATGTGAGGAAGCATCTTGATATTTTTCAATTATAATCTTATAATATCCTGAATTGTTGTTGGGAGTTCTTAGTGTAATGATTGTAGCAATCTGTCTAACATTTCAGCAAATTGATTATTAAAATAAATGATATGTGAGTGATGGTTATTTGTAATTTGGATTTGTAAAATCATCAAGAAATCAGAAAATATTTTTGTCAGTATATTCCATTAGGTCCTATTCTATAATCAAATTCATCTCTTGTAAGTACGGTAAGAAACAGCTACTATCAGAACTCAAATGACAGCATAGGCTCCTTTTACTCACCATTTTTTTTCCATTTGGTCTTGGCTTCTACTACTCTGATTAAGGATGGAAGTAAAAATAAAATTCTTAAATAAAAAACTGAATTAATTATTGCAGAAAACCCAAAAAGATCTTTTCACTAACAAGTTAAATAAACCATTAGCTATGTTACATAGACGATATGATCGGTTTTCTGATAGAAGTATCTTGAAGTTTAAGAAAATGATACATCACTATTATTTTTTTAGATTATTTTACAACATAATTATTTAATTGATCATGAAAGATCGATCGATTCATTAAATGTCTTGAAAGAAAGATCAAGTATCTTTCAAAATATTGAGGATAGGTAAGTAAATCAAATTTAGGAGAGATAGGTCGTACTATATACTTGGTTATAGTATCATCATAATAAGAGCTTTTATCTTCTTTATGTATTAAATAGACAGGAAGCACCAGACAAGATCTTGTATTAGAAGATTCAGTTGTGAGGAATTTCACAGTACTTAATGAATTACAGATTTGATGACCTAAAAGCAAAAATATTAATTCCATAGAGCTGAGCCTTTGTGTGATCACATGTTCTCTTAATGTGTCTCTATCTTGTATTTTAAATATATGAAAGGGTTCTCTTTTAATTAAAGATGGTACTGTAATTAAGAAGTTGCAACTCGGTAAGTTGCAACTTAGGTTGCAACTGGTTGCAACTCCTTGTAAAATTTATTTTAATATAAAAATTCATAAATAGTTGCAACTCAATGAGTTGCAACTTAAGTTGCAACTAGTTAAAAATTTTAAAATTAATTACAGCTCCATCTTTACTTTTAATGATATATTTTACCATATATTGAGTGAACTCTTTATCAGTTATATACTGAATATTCATATAAGCATCCTATAATAAAAGAATAGCGGGATGATAAGAGACCACTCATAAATCTGCATCAGTCAAACATTTGTAAATATAACAGAAGCCTCCTTCTTAATAATGAGTTGTTTGACTGTAAGGACGCAGAAAACCTTTTTTACATATTTGACCTTGTGAGGCAGATCTTAAGATGGTTCCCATAATTATTTTTAAAATTTTTAACTAGTTGCAACTTAAGTTGCAACACTTTGAGTTGCAAGATTTTATGAATTTTTATATTAAAATAAATTTACAATGAGTTGCAACCAAGTTGCAACTTCTTAATTATGGTGCCCATCTTTAGGCAGGATCTTAACATCTATTATGCAAGTATGTATTTGATTAGCTATCACAGAAGCATATAATTCAGGCTCATATAGAGGATCAGGTATTATTGAGCAGATGATATCATTTGCAATCATATCTAAAATAGGGTTATCAGTCTAATAACAGTTATGAGTATGTGCTGCACCCCTATTTTGAAATTCAATTCAATCAAAAAAGTCTGTGATCTTGCCAAATCCTGTAAGTTCAGGTTTTTTATACAATTTCTTTTTTAGAGACTGAAATTTGTGAACGAAATAATTTGCACAATAATAAGGTCTATTTGTTAGTAACAGATCATTGTTATTTGTATTAATGAGTATATTATAAAGATGAGTCTAACGTCCTTCAGCCATAGTCAAGGTTATGAATAATGATGGTAAACCAGATTTTTTCAGCATTGCGTTAAGATGAAGTTATTTGTGATGAAAGTAAGTATTTCCTGTGCATATAAAGATAGGTAGGAGAATCATTTTAGTTTCATCTAATTTCAGATATCTATTATATTTACTAGATTAGAGTAATTGCCTTACGATAGGAAGATTGTTGATGTTAGGATTGATATTATTTTGTCTTAAGAGTCATTAAGTATTTTGATGATGCCTCAGTTTCTCTAATTGCAGGTATGATCAAGAAGGCCAGTGATGATGAAGCTTTCATCGTAGTTTGTAATTTATTAATCGTTGTCTGATATATTTACCATAAGTTTCTTCTTTCATGTAATTATCTGTAATGTCTGATTGATCTAACATATTGTGAAAGTGACCTTTTCCATCTATAAATAGATCAGGAAAAATTAATAGTTCTAGATTAGGATCATATGTAGCAATAGGAATACGAATGTGTCACTTTCACAAACGAATTCTGTTATTAATCTAGAATAATAGAAGTCTTCATTATGAACTTTATCTGAAA